CGCCGCAATCAGGCTAGAGGCTGTGCTGCGACAGCACGCAGCGGCATTCGCGCACACGATACAAGAGCTGGGCAAATGCATGACCAGCACCATGCGCCTACCCCTGACCAGCGAAGTTCCATTGTACCAGCGGCGGAGGAGGATGAGCCCTCAGGACATCAGCATCTGCACGGAAAAATGTCAAGAGCTGCTGGCAGCAGGCCTGATCAGGCGGTCAACATCAGACTACGCAGCAGCCACAGTCGTAGTAGCACGGACAGACTTGACAGGCACAGTCTTGTCACGACGCATGTGCGGGGACTACAGGGGGCTGAATAAGGTGACAGCAACGGACCGCTACCCAATGCCGATGGCAGAAGAGATATTCGACCAGCTGCAGGGTAGCTGGGTCTTTTCGACGCTGGATCTGAGGCAGGGCTTCAATCAAATACCCATAGCGGAGGAGGACAAAAAGAAGACAGCATTTCATGGAGCAGACGGACTCTATGAGTGGAATTTCATGCCTTTCGGCCTGTGGAATGCATCAGCGGTGTTCCAGCGAGTAATGGATGGGGTGCTGAGGGAAGTAAAGGGGGCGGCATGTTATATAGACGACGTGATCGTCTTCAGCCCGGACGCAGAGACACACGTGCGGGACGTGGAGGCGACCCTGGCGGCAATTGAAGCGGCAGGCCTGACATGTCACCCGGGGAAGTGTCGCTTCGGGCACAGCAGCGTGGCATATCTGGGATTTGAGGTAGCAGGGGGGGAGCTGAGCATTCAGAAGGCCAAGGTGGAAGTGCTAGACCGAGTGGAGAGGCCGAAGGACAGAAGCAGTCTGCGGGCTCTGCTGGGCTTCCTCAACTACTATCGAAAGTTCATCGAGGACTTCAGTAAGAAAGCGGCTCCCCTAAACAAGTTGCTGCGAGAGGAGCAGAAATGGCAGTGGGAAGAGCCGCAGGAGTTGGCCTTGCGCAGCCTAATGGAAGCAGTGAAGGCAGGGGCTGTGCTGAAGCTACCTGACGGGCAGCAACCATTCATCCTGTATACGGACTGGAGCAGCATAGGCATGGGGGCAGTACTGAGTCAAATGGATAAGGGGGTGGAGAAAGTGGTGGCCTTCGCGAGCAGGACCTGCAGTCCAGCTGAGGCGAATTACTCGTCGTACGAAGGAGAAGGGCTGGCAGCCGTCTGGGCGGTGGGACACTTTCGCGTGTACCTGCAGGGGCGGCACTTCACCTTGGTTACGGACCACCAGCCGCTGCTGTGGCTGATGCACAACCAGACGCTGACCGGAAGAAACGCGCGGTGGGCCATGAAGTTGCAAGAATACGATTTCACGGTGAAACACATGCCAGGCAAAACGATGCAGCACGTGGATGGGCTCTCCAGGAACCCACCTCGGGGAGGCGACAGGCCAGAGCCAGAGCGGGAGCCCCCATCAGCAGCACTGACCGTCATGGTCAGTGAGCAGGGAGCAGGAGGGGAACAGCAGAAGGGTGCTGCGGATGTGTGGGAGGATGCGGAGACACTGAGGTGGATCAAGGGAGAGACAGCAGAAGATGGAGGAGCAGGGTCGAGAGCACGAGCGCGGGGGCAACACTACAGGTGGTTCCAAGAGCAGGTGCAGCTGCAGACAAAGGATGGCTGGAAGAGAGTGCCGGCACCAACTGAAAGGGAGGGGATAATCCGAGAAGTGCATAACAAGCTGGGGCACTACGGGCCACTGAGGACCGTGCAATTGCTACAGACAGGCTGGTGGTGGGCGGGGATGCGTAAGGAGGTTAAGGAGTGGGTGGAGAAGTGCGAGCTATGCTGCAGGAATAAGGCGAGCCTGCTGAAGAGCCAGGCCGAGCTACAGCCCCTGGACATCGTGGAGCTGGGGTACCGTTGGTCACTAGACATTGCGGGGGAATTGCCGGTGTCGCAGAGGGGCAGGCGGTACGTGCTACTCATGATAGAGCACGTAAGCAAGTGGGCAGAGGCGCGGCCACTCGTGGCAAAGACGGCAGAGGCAGTGGCGGAGGCGTTTGAGGAGATGGTGCTGACGAGGTTCGGCGCGTGCGGAGAGGTGTTAACCGATCAGGGCACTGAGTTCCAAGGAAAATTCAAGGAGCTGCTGGCAGAGAATGGCATCCAGCACCGCACCACCTCCAGGTACCACCCGCAGAGTGATGGGCTCACGGAACGGCTGGTGCAGACAGTGAAGAAGGGGATTCGCGCGTACGGAGAAGCGAACAAGGGAGATTGGGACAAGAAGCTGGCATGGGTGATGGCGGGGTACAGGTTCAGCAAGCAGGCCTCTCTGAGAGACGTGTCACCGTACTACCTGCTCTTCGGGAAGCATCCCATACTGCCGGTGGATGCGCCAAGGCTGTTGTTGGACAGCGTGACCGCGAGGACAGCAGAAAAGTGGGTGGCACTGGCGGACGCCAGGGCCAAGTACTTGAAGAAAATGCTGCCGGCGGCAATGGAAAGCCTGAAAGTGGCGCAGCTGCGAGACATACATCGGTACAAGCAGAGGCAGCTGAGCAAAATGACCGGGAAGCAGCCAGTGGTGGAGGAGGGGCAGGCGGTGTACGTGCGGCGGGCGAAGCGAGACGGGCTGGATGTGGGAGTGTCGCAGCAACGGTGGGAGGTGAAGGAGGTAAGGGACTCGGGAGTGCTGGTGCTGGAAGATGCACAAGGGAAGCGGGTCATGGACCACGTCACCAATGTAGCGCTCGCGGGAAAACAGCAGAAGACATGAGGCTACACCGGTCCCATGACCAGAGCGAGGACGGCAGCAGCAGGTCATGGGAGGGGGCAGAAGTAGGAACAAGTGGAGAGCAACAAGAGAGCCAGGAACAGAGGTGATAATGGATGGGGAGAAAGAGAGACACAAGATAGAGGAAGGTGAAGGGTACAGGGCTCAGGACTCAGAAGAGGGGTGAGGAAGACAGGACAGGAGTGATAACAAGGGGAGAAAAGGGGAAGAGAGGAAGGGAAACAGGACACAGAAGAGAGAGAAGCCGCAGCAGGAAGTGAGGAGGGGAGAGGGAGGGCAGGTATCCGACGGCTGTCACATTTGCATGAATGTGAAGGGTAAGGTAATGAGGAAAAGGGGTTTGTATATACTGTAGATACTGTACATAGCGGAGTGGAGTCCAACGAGTACGGAAGCCGAGGAGACATACGACGTTTCACAAGCGGATGGGAAGCTGGGGGAGCCGACGCTTGCCGAACCAGAGGGTCGGAGGGTTGCATGGATGAGCAGGGAGCTGGAACTTACGTAAGCGGAGTGGGGTGGGCTGCAAAGGCAGAGGCACACATGGCAGCGGCAGCAGGAAGCAGCAGCACAGGATGGGAGGGATGGGTGTACGTGTGCATGCTTGTTTGTTTTCGCTATGTGTGCAGGATAGGTTCGGGAAGCCAGCTGGATCAGGAAGTAACAGCTGGAGGACGAGGAGACAGGGCAAGGAAGGATGGCAAGAGGCATTACGGCTGTAAGCCTGTGTGAAGCAGCTCATGGCTGCTAGGACAGGCAAGGATGACGGGACCGTAGCATGGTGGTGGCGTTGCTGGTAGAATAGGAGGATTCCTGAACCGTCAATCCATTGCTTGTATGTTTCTCTTGTTACACGAACTCTTTGCTGTAGACCGAGCAAGTAGTGAAAAGAGGGAGATATGGCAAGCATAGAGCCGTAGTTTGAGGATAGTAGTAAGAAGTATGTGACGGAGCTCAGAGCTCATCACATACAAGCAATGGAGGCAGGAGGGGAACAGCAGAAGGGTGCTGCGGATGTGTGGGAGGATGCGGAGACACTGAGGTGGATCAAGGGAGAGACAGCAGAAGATGGAACAAGTGGAGAGCAACAGAAGTAGGAACAAGTGGAGAGCAACAAGAGAGCCAGGAACAGGGGTGATAATGGATGGGGAGAAAGAGAGACACAAGATAGAGGAAGGTGAAGGGTACAGGGCTCAGGACTCAGAAGAGGGGTGAGGAAGACAGGACAGGAGTGATAACAAGGGGAGAAAAGGGGAAGAGAGGAAGGGAAACAGGACACAGAAGAGAGAGAAGCCGCAGCAGGAAGTGAGGAGGGGAGAGGGAGGGCAGGTATCCGACAACAAGTGGAATTGCTGATTTAAAAATGGAAAAATATGACGATTCATTCTGATTCACATAACCGGGATCCGGGCGAGGAAAATTACTCAGCACGAGTAAACGCGCGAATAAATCTTCCGCTCTAATCAGCCTCAAACGAGGCAACTTCTTGAGCAGTGCCACACCCTCCTCTGTAACTTGAGCATCCGATAAATCCAACTCTTTCAAAGCAGGAAGATGCTGAATGTGCACCAGGCCAGCATCAGTGATCTTGCTTGGAAGAACGAGCACTTTCAGTCGGCTTAAAGGTGCCAGAAACTCCAGTCCAGCATCAGTCACACTGGTCCCCTTGAGATTGAGATCTTTGAGGCTGCTTGCTGCCCCAATACCTTCCAAGCAGCTGTCTGTTACAACAGGGCTGGTCAGCTCTAAGCTCTCAAGCTGCTTCGTGTAGAGGTGCTTGATTCCTTCTGGGTTGAATGCTGTTAAATCATCGAGAGTGATGTGCTTCACGTGACTCATCGTGGACACATGGTAGAGAATGGCTTCTGAGAGGAAAGGGAGGAACTTCAGATTCAATCTCGTCGTCGCATGGATTCTCTGCGAATAACAAAAAAGGGGAGGAAAGGCAACGGTTTGAAGGAGCAACAGTAGAAAACATACTAGAAATCCTAATTCATGTATCAAAAGATCTAGCAGCTGATGCCACCATTCTTGCACTCACCTGCCAAACAGTTTTATATGCCCCTTGCCGCATCCTGAGCTCCTCTTCCACGTCAAACAGCATATGCTTTGGTGCTGGGGATGGCACAGCTGCTACAGCATCAGAACTGTTTTTATTCCCCATCTCCTTCTCCTCCTCCTCCTCTAAAGCCAGCTTCTCCCTCTCCACGTTCTGCAAGCACTCTTTCTGTTCAGCCAGACCCGTTTTTGTTTTTTAAAAAGTCCCTTTCAATGAGTCTAACTCCCCTTTCATAGTCACCAGCTCAACCCTTGCTGTGAGCAACTCCCCCCTTACAGTCACCAGCTCTTCTTGCACTACAAGCAGGTCCCCTCTCACTTGTACAAACTTTGCTGCCCTGCTCCTCTCAGCCTCCCCCAATCCCCTCCGTGTCTCCTCCAGCTGCACTGAAGGCTGGAAAGGTGGGGAGAAAAGGGGTTGGAGAAGAGCGGTGGAAGTGGGGAAGGGGGTGGTGAGGAATAAAGGTGAGATTCACAGGTCCCTGCTCATGCCGCCCTCGTGCTGCTCGTGCTACAATTCCTTCCTGGCTCCCTGTCAGCTCGAACCCCCCACCTCAGCACCCCGCTCTGCATGGGTGGGGGGTTCCTGCAAGCCAGATTTCCTGAGGGACGAGGAGGGTAGGGACGAGGAGTGAAGCAACAGGAATGGAAGAAAAGGACGGGGACGGAGGGCAAGAGAACAGAGAAGAATTAAAAGAGGTGGAAAGGAAGGAAAGGGAAGGGTAGAAAGAGGAGGGAAAGGAAGGGAAGGGAAGAGGAGGGAAGGAAAGGGAAGGGAAGAGGAGGGAAGGGATGAGGAGGGAAGGGAAGGGAAGGGAAGGAAAGGGAAGGGAAGGGAAGGGAAGGGAAGGGAGGAGGGAAGGAACGGAAACCCATCTGTTATTATACCTCTTTCTGGAAGATCTCACCTGTTCAAAAGTAACATGTGCAACAGAAGCAGAAGCCGACGAGTCCAATTCCTCCACCAGCTGCTGCCTGCACGCCACGCCGCTGGGTGATCCTGTCCCGGCGACTCCTGCTAGTGTCGACGATGACCCAACAGAATTCGCTGCTGCGAACGGCAGGAGCGGCAGAATCCCCGCCATATATGACGCAGCGTTGCAGCTCCGCTACAAGCATGAGACGCGGCGCAACGAGTGGTGTTTATAGCGGAGCGGGTGGAAATGGGTGGTGAGAGGCGAGAGGCGAGGGAAACGGGGCGGGATAGCGCTGATCCGCGAGGAACGCAGCCCGTGAGAACACGCGCGAGCACCATGCTGAGTGGCTAGTCTGTTATGAAGCACTGCTGGTTGTTTGACGAGTTGTTTGACCTGCGGGAGGGTGTTATGACCATCTGCAAAACGTGTGGCTCCGAAACGGCAAGGTTGCGCTTAGGGATGTGACATATCGCAAATCGGCAAGGTTGCACTTGCCACTCGTGCATCTCTAAAATGTACTGACCCAAAAGGGACCCCTAGGTGACTTCCGGGCAAGATTCAGGACATCTGGAAATCTGTCCCAGAAGTTACTTTTGGAACTGACACTTAAGGTTAGCCTGAGGTTGTGAAGAAATGAGGAATGAATGATGAACTAGGAAATGAGTTGGGTACAAATATGAAACCCTAGAAAGCTGTACCCCATACTGTCTACCCCACTACATGTCAGAATGTTATCTTATGCTCTAGCCTGTAGTGGGGTGCTCTATAGCGAGTACAACCCTTCTAGGGTTTGCTATTTGTATCCTCATTCTTGCTAGTGCTATCCTCTTCTTTCTTCTAAACTTTAACATGCTATCAGAGCAGGTCGATCCCCTTGGATCGATCCTGTGGGTGGGCTTACCACCTCCTAGCTTCCGCTGCAACTCCTACCACTACACTCGGTGCCGCACGCCCCGTGGCGTGTGGCAGTTTTCTTCCCGCCGTGCGCCCCGAGGCGCGCGGCGGTTTTTCTTCCCGCCGTGCGCCCCGAGGCGCGCGGCGGTTTTCTGCCCGCCGTGCGCCCCGAGGCGCGCGGCGGTTCTCTGCCCGCTGTGCGCCCCGAGGCGCGCGGCGGGCTTCGGCCCCGTCAACCGTCGCGTCGCCCTCGGGAGGCGCCGCGACGGGCGACGGGGACCCGTTCGTCGCCCCCCGTCGCCCGTCGTGGCCTGCGCGCGGCCCGTACAGGCAGCGCGCGACCCGTACGGGCTGCGCCAGGCCAGCGCGCGACCCGTACGGGCTGCGCCAGGCCCGCGCGCGACCCGTACGGGCTGCGCCAGGCCCGCGCGCCACCCGTACGGGCTGCGCCAGGCCCGCGCGCGGCCCGTACGGGCGGCGCCAGGCCCGCGCGCGGCTCAGGCCGCCTACGCGCGGTTCGGGCGACCCTACCAGGCCCGTGGTGGGCCCGCTCCTTGCTGCCCCTGCCCTCCCTACTGTCCCCCAGCGCTTCTACTCGTGCCCCACCCCTCCTACTCCCCATTCTCCTGTATTAGGGTTTGGGGGTGCGGGGTATGGGGGTGCACCCACTGTGTACTGTTCCCTGCTCCTCCTCCTCCTCCGTCTCCCTGTGCTGCAGCTGCCGCTGAGGGGGGGTGGACGTGTTGGAGCCGGTGGAGTGGTACTAAGGGGGGGTGAAGGGGGAGTGGAGCTAGCGGTGTAGCAGCGGGTATGTGCCAGGGGGGAGTGGGATAGTTTGGGGAAGCTGAATGGAGGTTGCCGTCGTGTCGCCAGCAGCACCTGTATTCCGGGGACTTCGTCCGGTAGCCCAGTCGTAGCCAGCTGTGCCAGCCGCCCGTGGGTCCGTTGCTCGTCTGCCGCTACTTTAGCCGCGGGGCCTGTTACTCCTGTATTCCGGGGACTTCGTCCGGTAGCCGCTGTGCCAGTCTGCCTCCTGTTGCCTGTGTGTCTGCAGCTTCAGCCGTCGCCTCCTATCTCCTCTCCTCTCACTCTCTCTCCTCCTCCTCACTTGCCCGTTGTGACTACCACTAGCTTTGCTCATAATTATGAACTTAAACTATTGCTTCTTGAACTTGTGCTCAGAATGTGTGGTGACATTGTGATCCACCCTGAGCTTGTACTCCTTTGCTTACTCTGCTGATCACACCCCACTTTGGCTATGGGGGTGTGTCAGAATGTTATCTTATGCTCTAGCCTGTAGTGGGGTGCTCTATAGCGAGTACAACCCTTCTAGGGTTTGCAATTTGTATCCTCATTCTTGCTAGTGCTATCCTCTTCTTTCTTCTAAACTTTAACACTACAGCCTAGAAAGACTATAGCATATAAGTTTGACACACCCCCATAGGCAAAGTGGGGGAGAACAAGGGGTCACAAGACCAGTCAAGCAAAGCACAGCAAGCTCAGGGTGGATCACAACGTCACCACACATTCTGAGCACAAGTTCAAGGGCCACAAGGCCAGTTCACATGCAGAGATATATATATATATATATAAAGTTAAACATGCAAGTGCAAGTATGTATAGGTCAAAGTACAAGCAAGGTCAAGAAGTGAGCAAGTGAGGCAATGTAGGTACAAGACCTAACAGAGTACAGAAGCGCTGATGATCACAAGGCGCGAGTGCCTTGGTGAATATATCAGCAGTGTTGGCCTGAGAGGCCACGTAAGCAAGTTGCAGCTGACCACGCTGCTGCAGCTCACGAGCAAGGAAGTAGCGAAGAGCAATGTGCTTCGTTCTGTGCTCCAGTCTGTGCTCACGACACAAGGCCAGCATGGCCTTGTTGTCTACGTACAGAACTGGAGGAGAACGAGGCGGCTCTCCGAGGTCAGTCAGCAGGTAGGTGAGCCAGCGTAACTCCTGTGCAGCCATGGCCCCTGCGTAGATCTCAGCCTCACAGCTGGAGCTGAGAACAGAAGAACAGCGGGTAGACCGCCACGAAACAGAACCGGAACCAAGGCTAAAGGTGTAACCCTGTGACGACCGCTGCGTAGCCAAGTCGTCAACCCAAGACGCGTCTGCGTGACCAGTGAGGACCACTGGACTCCGCCCTCCAAGCACTAGCCCCATGCCAGACGTACTGCACAAGTAGCGCAACACCCTCTTCGCTGCAGCCATGTGCTCAGGGAGGTGTCTCCCAGGAGCAACATAGCGTGCCAGAATGCTAAGAGGGTATGCAAGGTCAGGTCGTGTGCAGGTCATCAGGTACATGAGGCAGCCAACAAGCTCTGGGTACGGGCCACTCGGCTCTACGGACTCATCCGAAGGCAGAGCTGAGAGCGAGTGGCGAGTAGACAGAGGAGTGGCCTGTGGCGAGGAGTACGTGAAGCCGAAGCGCTGAAGGACCTGCTGCACCATGTGTGACTGAGTCAGGGTAATGGTGCGTTGTGCTCTGTCCCGGGTGATCTGCAAGCCAAGGTAGCTGCGCAGTTCACCCAGGTCTGTGCACGTGTGTCTCTTCTGCAGCTCGGACTTCACGTGGGCGAGTCCAGCAGTGTCAGCTGTGGCAAAGACCAAGTCGTCGACGTACACGAGGATGTAGAACGGCGGCAAAGAGGTGTCGGTGCGCAGAAACAGCGACGGGTCGGCAGTAGAAGGAGCAAACTCAAGAGCCGCAAGTATATTCCTCAGTGTGTCGTGCCACTCACGAGGTGCCTGGCGGAGACCGTAGACTGGCCGTCGGAGGCTCCACTGGGTGCCAGGAGGAAAAGACCCAGTGAAGCCAGGTGGGCGGCGCAGCCAGATCTCCTCGTGCAGGCTACCCTGTAGGAAAGCAGTGCTGAAGTCAAGAGAGTGAAGCTCGTAGTCGCGCTGAGCGGCTATGTGCAGTAGTACCCGAAGAGTGGTCATCTTTGGGGTGGGAGAGAAGGTCTGAAAGTAGTCAACTCCCTGCCGCTGACTGAAGCCTCGAGCCACGTAACGCGCCTTGAAGACAGGCGGAGAACCCGGGGGCCGCTTCACCCTGAAAATCCACATGCCACTGACGATGTTCGGCCCAGGTGGGGGAACCTCGTCGACGTAGGTGCCTGTGGACTTCCAGGAAGCCATCTCTGTGTCCATGGCTGCCTGCCACTGAGAGGAGTAGGGACCCTCTATCGCCTCCGCGTAAGAGCGCGGAGTCGGGATGTCTGGTGCATCCGGGTCTCCCTAAGGGGCCAGCAGCATGGACACGAGATGAGGTGAAGCAGCAGCAAAGCACTGGAACTCCTCCTGCCTGTCCTCAAGGACGTCCGTGCCAAGGGCACACTCACCCCCGACGAACGGAGGACAGACAGACTCAGACTCAGGGACAAGACTAGCAGCGTAGTCTAGACGACATCGAGCAGCAAAGTCGACAAGCTCAGCAACTAAGGCAGACGCAGCAGTGGACTTGAAGGAAGGGTCAGTGACGACAGTAGCAAGGAGACGCGTGACAGTAGGACTGGCAGCACGAAGGGAGTCCGACTCTGGGTCAGCAAGAGCAGGAAGAGAGGACTCAGGAGGAGAAGGCAAAGGGGCACGCAGCGGAGCAGTGGAAGGACGCAGAGACATCCGGTGCGTGCCGGGGACAGGGGGAGGACGCTGACGCGAACCACGACCACTAGGGCGAGCAGCACGGACAGGCGACGCAGGACGAGACGCAGGCTCACGACGCTCAGCAAGACCTCCAGTAGGACCAGTGTAGGGAGAAGGAGCAGGCAGTGGGGAGGCTGGCTGTAACTGTGACTCAGACTGGACAGGCGGCGGACACTCTAAGAGAGGAGCAGGACTAGTAGAGGGCGGAAGACCAAGAACCTGCTCAAGGAGCGGAACGAAGTACGGCCGCGGCCGTGCAGCACCCCCAGAACCAGCAGGAACAGCACCAGCACCCCTGACGGCAGCACCAGCTCCAGTAGCACCCCCAGCTCCAGCAGCGCCAGCAGCTCCAGCACCAGCACCCCCAACAGCAGAACCAGGTCCAGTAGCACCCCCAGCTCCAGCCGCGCCAGCAGCACCAGCTCCAGCAGCACCAACACCCGCCCCCTCAGAAGCACCAGCACCAGCAGCACCTCCAGCGCCAACACCCCCAGCAGCTCCTGCTCCAGCACTAGCACCTCCAGCAGCTCCAGCACAAGGAGTACCCGCAGGCCCAGCAGCTCTAGTACCTCCAGTACGAGCACCTCCGGGACCCGTGGCACCAGCACCCCCAGCAGCTCTAG